GCTGGGTCTCTGGTTGGGCCACCATAAGCCACCCCCACCGCCTGGTTTTACTATTTCATTCTCAAGAGGGTTTCTAGGCAGCACCTGACCAGGGAGTTCCAGAGTTCTAATTAGCTACTAATTGGCCATTCAAGTAATAATACCTGTCCAATACTCAGGTCCCGAAAGGATTAAGACTAATGAAGAAGCTATTTGGGTTCTTAAGATCTCACTGTAAGCCCAGGCTTATGTGAAATTTAATTATGTTTATCAAATGCTCTCTGCCTTAGTTCTTGGGTATCTGAAATTTCATGAAATGAACTCAAATATCTCTTCTACAATTAGACAAGAACATAACAAAGCTAAGCAACTTGGTTGTCATTGGCCTTTAACTGAAGGACTAGCTTATCTGCTAGATTTCCTTAAAGAAAAAAGAAAGAAAAAGAAAGACTCAAGAGCCTCAAAGCCCAGCTCCAGTAGAGCTCAGAGGAGTCACCTTCTCACCATAATGAGGTAGGAAAAAACTTTATTAATATGACTGGGGCTTTAACTTTGCCCCACATTCTAGATAAGGAAATGCAGGCTGCTGGGCTCTGCTCTGATTGAGACAGAGCTGAAGAAGAAATCCCCACACCCACCCAAGCTAGGGCCAGCCTCCTCTTTCAGCTTGCACAACCTCGATCCAGGGGCAGGAACTACTGTGCTGGCCTTTTGAAACTCGTGGACTTTGCCCCTTAGGGCTGAATAAACTGAATATAACTAATACCCAATCCACCTTTGGTAATCATAACTGAATGTGTGCTTTTTCCCCCTTAACATATCGTGGACAGTACTCCCTAACAACACTTACAGAGCTATCTTTTTGTGACTGAACAGCTTTTATACTATAGATGCATAATAACTTATTTGCCAGTTCCCTTTGTAGGAACACTTAGGTACTTTCCTCTCTTCTAAACAATGCAGTAGCTGGGCCTGGTAAAGGCCTGCGATCCTAACTATCAGGAAGGCTGAGGCAGGAACATTACAAAGTCAAAGCCAGCTGAAGCAACTTAGGGAAACTGTCTCAAAATAGAAGGGAAAAGAAAAATAAATAAAAGGTGAGCTAGTAAACCAGGTGTGATGGTACATGCCTTTAATCCCAACACTTAAGAGGCAGAGGCAGGCAGATATCTGTGAGTTTGAGGCTGCCTGGTCTACAGATCAAGTCCCAGGACAGCTAAAGCTGTTACACAAAGAAACCCTGTCTCAGAAGAAAAAAAAAAGAGGCATGTTAGTGCTTGCCTAAGAAGGCCCCCGAGGCCCTTCGTTCAACACCCAGAACTACAAGCAAGCACAGTAAATTCCTTTCACTCTTCCATTGTTCCTGCAGATTAAATTCTTAACAATTGCTGGATAAGAAGAGATACACATTTAACATGTTAATAACTATTACTAGATTACCTAAAAGAGAGATGAGACTCTTTACTTTTCTTTTTTTGTTGTTGTTTTTTGTTTTTTGAGACAGGGTTTCTCTGTGTAGCTTTGTGCCTTTCCTGGGGCTCACTTGGATTAAAGGCATGCGCCACCACCGCCCGGCTTTTTTTTTTTTTTTTTTTTTTGAGGCAGGGTTTCTCTGTGTATCCCTGGTGGTCCTAGAAAGCGCTTGAACTCAGAGATTCGCTTACCTCCCAAGTGCTGGGATTAAAGGTGTGCGCCACCATACCCAGCTCCCGTTTTTTTTTTTTTTTTTTTTTTAAATATTTATTTATTTAACTTGTGTGTATGTGTGGGAATGCAGAAGTCAGAAGACAACTCTCACAAATCAATTCTCTTCTGCCACCTTGTGGGATCCCGGGATCCAGCTCGGTCATCTGCCCTGTGTGCAAGCACCCCTACCCCTACCCACCACCCCCCACCCCCCCACACACCCCACCCCCCCCCACCCCCCCCCACCCCCCCGCCCCACAAGCCATCTCTGGCCTGTTCTCTCTGTGTCAACAGCGAGATGAGGGTGGAGAGGTGACTCAGTGGGTAAGAACACATACTGCGCTTTCAGAGGACTCAAGTTTGGATCTCACATTAGGTAGCTCACAACCATTCATAATTCCACTCCAAAAGATCTGATTCCTTCTGCCTCCAAGATACTCCCACACACCTGCACCTACTTACATACATACACATAATTCAAAAGTAAAGACAGGGGCTGGCGAGATGGCTCAGCAGTTAAGAGCACTTGCTGCTCTCGCAGAGGACTCAGATTTGAGTCTCAGCATTCACATGGCAGCTCACAACCATCCATAACTCCTGTTCCAGGGAGTCTGACTCCTTTTTCTGGCCTCCTTGGGCACTTACACTTCCATGGTGCACATACATACATGCAGGCAAAACAGTCAAACTCATACTTTTTGTGAAAAATCATTTTTTAGCCAGGCGGTAGTGGCACACGCCTTTAATCCCAGCACTCAGGAGGCAGAGGCAAACAGATCTCTGTGAGTTCGAGGCCAGCCTGGTCTCCAAAGTGAGTTCCAAGACAGCCAGGACTACACAGAGAAACCCTATCTTGAAAAACAAAACAAAACAAAACAAAAAGCTGAGTATGTTGGCACATGCCTTTAATCCCAGTACTGAAGAAGGCGGAGGCAGGGTGTGTCTCTGTGAATTAGAAGTCAGCCTGATCTACACAGTAAGTTCCAGACCAGCCAGAGCTACACAGTTAGATCCTGTCTCAAAAAAATCCAAAGAATGAATTACATATTTTTTAAAAGAAGAGCCCCATTGAGCTATAATAGCTTGCAATAAACTGCCCATTTTCACTTCCCCTCCTCCCCTTATTTTAAAACAGAGCCTAACTTAGCCTGCTTGTATGTATGTGCATCACATGCATGCCTGGTGTTCTCAAAAGTCAGAAGAGGGGGCTGGAGAGATGGATCAGCGGTTAAGAGCACTGACTGCTCTTCCAGAGGACCAGGGTTCAATTCCCAGCAACCACATGGCAGCTCACAACTGTCTGTAACTCCAGTTCCAGGGGACTCTCAGACAGACATACATGCAGGCAAAACACCAATGCACATAAAATAAAAATAAATAAATTATTTTAAAAAATCAGAGGAGTCAGAAGAAGGCTTTGGATCCCTTGGGACTGGAGTTACAGATGGTTGTTAATCACCATGTGGGTGTTGGGAACCAAACTTAGATACTCTAGAAAAGCTTTGAGTGTTCTTAGCCAACTCTCCAGCTCTATATGGGGTGTGTGTATTGGAAATCAGTGTGTATGTGTGTAGTGAGATTTTTCTTTGTGCCACCAGCTCACAAATAAGGACACAGAAACTTATTATTAATTGTGAAAGTGTGGCCTTAGCTTAGGCTTGTCCTATTGGCTCTTATAATTTAAATTAATTTGCTTTAATTAGTCTACATTTTACCATGTGGCTTTTTACCTTTCTTTCATTCTGTATGTCTCCCTCCATGTCTCTTTGGCGCCTCCTCTGCATCTCCTCTTCCTTTCTCTCCATGGAAATCCTGCCTATACCTCCTACCTAGCTACTGGCCATTCAGCTTTTTATCGCACCAATTATAGCAATACATTTTCACACAGTATACAAATATCCCACAACAAGTGTGTGTTCAGAACATGAAGGTGAGTAGTGGATGTATACCCCCATATGTATTCCTATGGAGGCCAGAATGGGATGTTAGGAATCTTCCTTTATCATTCTGTGTCTTATTGCCTTGAAACAGGGTCTTTTGATGAACTGGAAACTTGCCTTTTCCTCTAGGCTGGCTGGCCAGTAAACACTCATGATTCACCCCACCCCCACGCCACCCCCAATGCTGGACCTATAGGCATGTAGAGCCATGCCCAGGTTTATGTAAGCACTGGGGTTTTGAACTCAGGTTCACAGGCTTGCAGAGCAAGCAGTCTTGCCCACTGAGCCAGCTTCCCAATCTTTCCTTTATTTTCTAATAGATTTGCTTAATTTTTCCCCCCTCAGGTTCCTGTGTCTCAACCTCCTTATTAGTGAGAATCATGTGTCAGCTATGCTAGTCACCTATGTTCCCTTTTTAAAAAGATGTATTTGTTTCTATTTTACTCATATGGGTGTTTATTTTGCCTACATGTATGTCTCTGCACCATATACATGCATGCATCATTGCCCCTGAAGACCAGAAGAGGGCGTCTGATACTCTAGAATAGAGTTACAGATGGCTCTTAGCCCCCATATGCTTGCTGAGAATTGAACTTGGAAGAGCTCTGTGGCAGGTTTATTTAGTACCCAAGTTTGAACCCAGGGCTTCATGCATGTTAGGCAAGCAATCTGCCAACCAAGCTACATCCCCAGCCTAATTCCTGCCATATTCAACAAGGTATAGTTCCTGGAATGTAGGATCCTGCTTTATTCCTTCATAAGTTGTTATGTTAGTCCTGTCTAGATTGCTGCTTCCTTTAATTTTCTGAGTGACAACTGTCTATCCTTCCAGAAAGCTTTCAGCACATGACAGATATCGTTAAATATCTGTCCACCGGATGAATAAATCATGCTTTTATGTACATGGTACAAGGATTAAACTCAGGGTCATTTTTTTGTTTTGTTTTGTTTTTTCGTGGTTTTTTGAGATGGGGTTTCTCTTTGTAGCCCTGGCTATCCTGGAACTCACTTTGTAGACCAGGCTGGCCTGCAACTCATGGAGATCTGCCTGCCCCTGCCTCCCGAGTGCTGGGACTAAAGGCGTGCACCACCATGCCTAGCAAACTCAGGGTCTTGTACATGCTAGGCAAGCACTCTACCACTAAGTTACAAAAAGCATTTCTTTTAAAAGATAGGCTCTTGCTGTGTATTCCAGGCTGGCCTTGAATTCACAATGCCATAATGCCTGGCTAACTCAATCACTTCTACCCACTTTTAACAGAGCATTGTTTGTGGGTGACATGTGCAATAGCAGTCTGTAAAATCAGGAAATGAAGAGAGGAAATCAGTATTGTCCCATGACTTAGGCTGTCTGCTTCCTTCTGTGGTTTTTCCCCTGCCTTGTCAGCTCTGCCCATCCCGCTCCCTCTCCTTCCTTCCTCCTTTCCAGCCACAGTCCAGTGGTTTTAGCTGGCTGCAGTCTTCTTCTCACTGCCTCACTTCAGCATGGATCTTTCTGGCTGATTCCTGCCCCGATACCACGACATCTCCGATGCCAGCAGCTGTAGCTCTACATAAAGGTGTGTGCGTATTTACATGTGTGAGTGTGCCTGTGGGTGTGCCCTCATGTAGAAGGAGGAAAAATGTACAGCTACATATAGAGTCCTGAATCATCCTGACCCTGTCGGGCTAAGTTGCACTTTAGAGGGGGAGAGCAGGAGAGAGGAGGTGACAGCTCTACCCCAGGCTACTTTACAGCAGTCTAATCAATAATAACAAATAACAGCAAATAATAACTGCTATAATTAAATTCCTACTAGTGCCCTTTTTGTTGTTGTTGTTGTTTTGAGACACAGTTTCCCTGTGTAGTTTTGGTGCCTGTCCAGGATCTCACTCTGTAGACCAGGAACTCACAGAGATCCACCTGGCTTTGCCTCCTGAGTGATGGGACTAAAGGTGTGCACCACCACTGCCCGGCCCTACTAGTGTAGCATGAGTCTTAACAGTTCTTATTAATTAAATCAAACCTGAGGCCAGTTATTGGGGTGAACGCTGGAAGGTCAGAGAAGCAGAACCGGCCACAGCTACCTCACCTGGCCAACTTCTCTGCTGATCTTGTTTCCTCAGACTGGAAGCCTCTGTGTCCTCATATCCAATGGCTCTCAGCTGAACTGTGCTGCTAGAAGCCTGAAAGCTTAACCAGCCAAATGCTTAACCAGCCAAATGCTTAACCAGCCAAATGCTTAACCAGCCAAATGCTTAACCAGCCAAATGCTTAACCAGCCAAATGCTTAACCAGCCAAATGCTTAACCAGCCAAATGCTTCTAGTTTCTGGTCCTCACGCCTTATATACCTTTCTGCTTTCTACCACCACTCCCTGGGATTAAAGGCTCACTTTCTGCGATTAAATCATGTGTCACCATGCCTGGCCATTTCCAAATGTGGCCTTGAACTCACAGAGATCCAGAGGGATTTCTACCTCTGGAGTGCTAGGATTAAAGGTGTGAGTGCCACCATTTTCTAGCCTTTGTATCTAGTGGCTGTTCTGTCTCTGACCCCAGATAAGTTTATTAGGGTGCACAATATTTTGGGGAACACAATACCACCACACTACTAGTGCTCTTGACTGTTTCATTTCATCCCAAAATATATCAGATCAGTTTTTTTTTCAAATTTCTTTTTATTACTTTATTTATTTTGGGTTTTGGAGACAGGCTTTCAGTATGTAGCCCAGGCTGGTCTTGAATTTGCACTGATCCTTCTGCTTCATGTAATATTTTTCTAAGTTTATTTATTTTATATGTATGGGTGTTTTGACTGAATGTTTGTCTGTATTCCACATGTGTGTAGTGCCCTCTGAAGAGAGCATTAGATCCTCTGCAACTGGAGTTACAAATAATTGTCAAATGCCATATGGGTGCTGGGAACCAAAGTTGGGTCCTCTGCAAGAGCAGCCACTGCTTTTAACCACTGACCCATCTCTCCAGCTTTTTTTTTTTTTTAAATAACCCACTGAGCTCAATTTGTGTTGCCCATATACTCATGGGCACGGGACCTTCCACTGGGATGTATTAAATGTGTGGAACTGCACCCTTAAAGAAAACTGACTCCCCTCCCCCCAAGAGCCATCAACTGTCAATAGTTCCTCAGTTAGAGGTGGGTGCTTATGAGTCTCCTTTTCCTGCACAGGAGAATATTGAATGACTTGGCCTTCTGCAGACAACCACAGCTGGTATGAGTTCATGAGTTCAGTGGTCCCTTCCAGAAGGCACTGTTTTATTCCAATTCTCCCTGACTTGTAGCTCTAAACAATCTTCCCACCTGTTGCTCCAGCTCCAGTGGGTCTGACTTCCTCTTCTGGCTTCCACGGGCACTTGGACTCATTCATACATACCCCCATGCAGACACATGTAAGTATAGACAAATAACAGTTTTGTTTTTTTTTTTTCGTTTTTCGAGACAGGGTTTCTCTGTGTAGCTTTGCGCCTTTCCTGGGACTCGCTTGGTAGCCCAGGCTGGCCTCGAACTCACAGAGATCCACCTGGCTCTGCCTCCCGAGTGCTGGGATTAAAGGCGTGCGCCACCACCGCCCGGCCAAATAACAGTTTTTAGTCAGGCAGATCTCTATGAGGTCAGCTTGGTCTACAGAGCAACCTCCATAACAGTCAGGGCTACACAGAGAAAAACCCTGTTTCAAAAAAAACAAACCAACCAGTTGTGGTGGCACAAGCTTGTAATCCCAGCCAGCACTTGGGAGGTGAAGGCAGGCGGATCTCTGTGAATTAGAGGCCAGCCTGGTCCACAAAATGAATTTCAGGACAGCCAGGGCTGTTACACAGAGAAACTCTGTCTCAAAAAACAAAACAAAACAAAACAGGATTTCTGTCTGTCTTGGTGATGCCAGACATGCTGGTGTTAGAAGGGTTCTGTCAGTTCCTGTCTTCTGGAAATAATTCAGTTGAGAGAGCAGACAGATTAAGCAGAAGTTTATTTAGCAAATCCAAGAAAGCCTTCCCAAGAGAGATGGAAGTGGGCTATCCCTAATGAGGGATGGTAGCAGAATGGGTTCTGCATTGGAGATTTTTTTAAGTGACTATTTATGAGGTAGGTGGCATATTTATGGGGTGAGATAACATTTTCCTCCAGAATCATGGTGGACTGGATCTCTCTTTCAGGGCGTTTTACCTGATGATCATTTAAGTAGCTCACAAAGAGAGGACCAGGGGCAAGGCCACAGGTAGTGAAACCAAGGAGTCTTTTGCAGCCCCTTTAGTGTACCTGTGGGGACACCCTGGTGCCTTATTTTGTAATGGAACAATCTATCTGCAACTTCAAGGACTGTTAACCACCTAGGAGCGTTCTCACGGTCAGGAGACACAGCTACCAAGGTACAGCTGCAGCTTTCTTTCTTTTTTTTTTTTTTTTTTTTTTTGGTTTTTCGAGACAGGGTTTCTCTGTGTAGCTTTGCGCCTTTCCTGGAACTCACTCGGTAGCCCAGGCTGGCCTCGAACTCACAGAGATCCGCCTGGTTCTGCCTCCCTAGTGCTGGCATTAAAGGCGTGCGCCACCACCGCCCGGCTATGCTGCAGCTTTCTTAATGACTTCATACCTAACTTGGTTTCGAGACCACTCTAGGTCCTATGATTGATCTCATAACTAGCTCTGTTAATACAGTTTGTCATTCCAGAATTAAGACATCTTGTTGTTTTCTAAACTTTGCTTTGTCATAAAGACCGGGCAATCCAAGCTGTGTAAACAGGAACACAGCTTGTGCAGTCTGTAAGACGCCCTTCTCTCAGCTCTATACTCATTTCTATGTTCCTGATGTATGCCTGTAATTCTAGATCTTGGGAGGTAGAGGCAAGAAGATCAGGAGTTCCATGCCAGCCTCAGCTACATGAGACCTTGTCTCAATAAAACAAACAAGGACCAGGCTTGGTGGCACATGTTTGTAACCCCATAGTTTGGGAGGCAGTGGCAGGCAGATCGCTGAGTTCAAAGCCATCTCAGTCTACATGGTAAAGTAGAGAAAAGAGGATCTGTGACACTTGTTGGACAGCCAGCCTAACCAGTGGGTGAGCTCCAAATCCAGTGAGACTCTCAAAAACCGTAAAATGGAAATGTTGACTTCTAGCCTCTACACATATGCATCCTATTGGCAAAGGAACACACCTACACACCAAACAAACAAGAAACTGCCTTCCATTTCCACTCCAGCCAGTAAAGGTCATAGGGAGAAAGAAGTGGAGGAGAAAAAGCAGTCATCCATTGCAGAGTTCAGCCTTGCTTCTCTGTTGTGGGATTTTTGTACACTGTGTGAAGAGAATGCTAGGGAACAAAACCGGTCAGCCGCCTGACTTGTGATGTGTGTGCTTCTCTTGTTCTCATGCCTTGCAGTCGTCTCTTCTCAAATAACAATTTATTTAACTTTATTTTTATGTATTGGTGTGAAGGTATCAGATTACCTGGAACTGGAGTTACAGACAGGTGTGAACTGCCATGGGGGTGCTGGCAATTGAACCCGGGTCCTCTGGAAGAGCAGCCAGAGTTCCTAACTGCTGAGCCATCTCTCCAGCCCCTTGCAGCCGCCTCTTATTCTGTGTGTACTTGGGAATGAGACACTTCGGTTTTTTTTTTTTTTTGGTTTTTCGAGACAGGGTTTCTCTGTGTAGCTTTGCACCTTTCCTGGAACTCACTTGGTAGTCCAGGCTGGCCTCGAACTCACAGAGATCCGCCTGGCTCTGCCTCCCGAGTGCTGGGATTAAAGGCGTGCGCCACCACCGGCCCGGCAGACACTTCGGTTTTAATTTCTAATTTTTGTATTTACTATCACTGTGGAGGTGTATGTGTATGGGAGGTGCACTTTTGCCACAGTATGTATGTGGCGGTCAGAGGACCCCTGTGTGGAGTTGGTTCTCTTCTTACCTGGAGTTACATAAACTCTAGAAAAACAAGCTCAGGTTTACACAGGAAGCACAGTTACCCACCCTGAGCCATCTCACCAGTGTCTCAGGCACTTAAAAACAAACAGTTTTGGGGTTGGGGATTTAGCTCAGTGGTAATGTGCTAGGGTTCGGTCCTCAGCTCCGGGAAAACAAAACAAAACAAAACAAAAAAACAAAAAACAATTTCATACTTGCATCCATGATCATGTTCCCTCTCATATATCCTTCCCCCCCCCCCCCCCCCCCCCCCCCCGCAATATGCCTTCCTCCCACCTTCGCGTCCCACCTTTGTTGTGTGTGGAACCCACTGGTGCCAGCTGCTGAAATATTGGCTTGCTCTTGTCCTCAGGCACTTCTTTTTTTTTTTGGTTTTTCAAGACAGGGTTTCTCTGTGTAGCTTTGCGCCTTTCCTGGGACTCACTTGGTAGTCCAGGCTGGCCTCGAACTCACAGAGATCCGCCTGGCTCTGCCTCCCGAGTGCTGGGATTAAAGGCGTGCGCCACCACTGCCCGGCTCAAGACCTTGTTTTTAAAAAACTAGAAAAAGGCCCCAGCTGCCAAGACAGACAACCCAAGTTCAGTCCCCAGGAAATACATGGTAAATGGAGAGAACCGACACCTGACATACACATACACAAAACAAAAATTACAATACAATTAAAAATTAAAAATAGGATACCTCACCCCTTTAAGCTTGCACTCAGGAGGAGGAGGAGGAGACAGATTGATGTATGTTAGTATCGGTCTTCAACCTTCCTAATGCTGCCACCCTCTAATACAGGTCCTCATGTTGTGGTGACCCCCCCAATCATAAAACAATTAAGTTGCTACTTCATAACTTTAATTTTGCTGATGTTATGAATTTTTTTAAGATTTATTTATTTATTATGGATAAAGTATTCTGTCCACTTGTATGCCTGCACGCCAGAAGAGGATACTAGATCTCATTATAGATGGCTGTGAGCCACCATGTGGTTGTTGGGAATTGAACTCAGCTCTTAACCTCTGAGCCATCTCTCCAGCCCTACTGTTATGAATTGTAATGCAAATACCTAATATGCAGGATATCTGATATGTGACCCCTTTGGGGGTCACAACCCACAGGTTGAGAACACCTGGGTTAGTTGGAGGCCAGGCTGGTCTACATACAGAGTTCCAAGCCAGCCAAGGCTACATAGTGAGAGACCTTATCTCAAAAACATCAAACAAAACAAAACAAAATGAGAACTTTAATGCATATGCAATCAGGGAAAAGACAACAAAATGCCTGTGAGAATCATTCACTCTGGTTTAAGGAAAGCTAAGATGGGCACTGAATGCTCTCCATTTCCCACCATCTGTGAGCCACTGAAGGCTAGGGGTGTGGCTCAGAGGTTTCCCCAGCACTACAATAAATAAATAAAAATAAACAGGGAAACCATATATGGTGGCTCAGGCTTGTGATTCTAGCGATTAGGAGGCAGAGGCAGGAGAATCTCAGTTGAAGTCTACATAGGAAGTTTCAGACCTGCCAGGGATACATAGCGAGATCTCTTCTCAATAGGAAAAACTAAGGCAGGAGTCTGAACGCCTTTAATCCCAGCACTTGGGAGTCAGAGGTAAGAGGATTTCTGTGAATTCGAGGCTAGCTTGGTCTGCAAGTTCCAGGACAGTCAGGGCTCCATAGAGAAACCCTGTCCTAAAACACACCCTGTCCTAAAACATCTCCCACCCCCCAAAAAATGTGTAGCCCTGGCTATCCTGGAACTAGCTCTGTAGACCAGAGATCCGCCTGCCTCTGCTTTCCAAATTCTGGGATTAAAAGTGTGCACCACCATCGCCCACCTTAAAAATAAATGAAATTAGTAAAAGGAGCACCCTTTCTATATATGTAGCACCTCAAGTCCTTAGTTCTTGTCATCAACATGATTCTAGTTAAGTTCAGGTACGCTCTGACAGATCACAGCTTGCTAGGGTTTAGTCTGGAGCTGTGTAAGACTTGTTATCCTCAAAGACTCAGGGGAACACGTGTTGTCTTCATGGGCAGGTTGGTCCAAAGTTTCTGACTCCGTCAGCAGAACAAGCAAGCCCTTCCTCCCCCTCCCCCCTCCTCCTCCTTCTCTTCCTCTTTTTCTTATTCTCTCCCTCCTCCCTTTTTCTTCCTTCTTTCCTTCCTTCCTTCCTTTCTTTTTTTTTTTAAACACAAGGCCTCAACTATATAACTCTGACTGGCCTGGAACTCCCTATGTAGACCAGGTTGGCCTTGAACTCAGAGATCTGTTTGTTTCTTGAATTCCTCCTGGAATTGAAGGCATGTACCACTATGCTCAACTTTATTTTCTTTCTCATGGTTTCCCTTTCCTTCCTATGTCTTCTTAATTTTTCCTGTTTTTTTTGGGGGGGGGAGGGGAGAGATAGGGTAGGGAGTGGGGGCACGTTTTCAGGGCACAGTTTCTCTGTGTAACCCTGACTGTCCTAGAACTCACT